AGGGATTTTGTTCTGACTTGTCTATGAGATGAGTAACATCTTTTTTTTTTTCCTGTAAAGAGCCACATTATAAATAAATAAATAAATAAATAAATACTTTAGGCTTGGTAGATCATAAGGTCTCTGTCATAACTACTCAACTCTGTAATTGCAGTATGAAAGCAGTCATAGACAATACATAAATGAATAAGTTGTGGTTGCATGCCAATAAAACCTTACAAAAACAGACAGCCTACTTGATTTGGCATGCACAGTCTCTGGCTTGCTGACCCATTGTCTAGACTGCAAAATGTGGGAGTATTGACACTGCTTGAGAAATGCTACTATAGAGAGCAATGTTTGGTGAACCAGGTATGGGGATGGGACTGTGTATCAGAATTACTAGTCATTGTATCTCATTTTTGCAGAATCTCTAATTCTAGACTGTTCAAAGGTAGAATTTAGGTATTACCTGGCCAACAACTATTTTAGCATTATTAAAAGTACTACATATGGCCCATATCCTGAACACATTACCAGAAATATCCCCTTCTCAAATCGTTCCCACATGATATTATAAAAGCATCACTGAAGAGCAGTTTTAATTGAGAAAATATGAAGGGCCACATGATGAAATCAATTTATTTCTAAGAAAACTATTAGCTGTTAAATTTTAAACAGGAGAGGATGTAGTAGTAGCTCAGTGGTAGAGTACTTGCCTAGCATGTGTAAGGCCCTGGGTTCAATCCTCAGCACCACATAAAAATAAATAAATAGAATAAAGGTATTATGTTCATCTACAATTAAAAAGTTTAAAAAGGAAGTAAAACTTGCCCTATAGATAATATTGTTTGGTATATACATTAAGTCTCCCAATTATTTCATTTACGGGAACTGGGGGCACAGTGAAAAGAAGTTAAAAAGAGGAAACATATGTGAATATGCCACAGTGAATTTCACCATTATGTACACCCACAAGACACTAATTTAAAAAAAAATTACATAAATAGCAGAAAGATGGGTAGAGTAGAGGGAAGGGAACAGGAAGAGGGAGGAAGTGGGGGAAGGGGAAGTACTGGGAACTGATTTTGAACAAATTATATTCCATGCTTTCATAATTGTATCAAAATGATCCTAATGTTATGTATAACTAAAAAGAACCAATACAAATGCAAAAGAGGGAATTAAAAATTGCAGTATTCTTAGAGTTCCAGTTATAAACTTCCCCAAATGACAGGTGTAGCCACTAAGTGAAAGGCAATGTTTACCAGTGCACAGAGTGAAATCAACTACTTTTCATGACTAAATTTTCATTCATCACTTACATACAATTACTATGTGTCTGCTAATATTCACTTACTTTTCATGAAGGAGGGCCTAGCACTTCTCTTTATACAGCCCTATATCTGAAGCAGTGATTCCTAAGGGGATGGCAACTGGGAGATGATTAAAATTATCTAGGGAGCTCACACTACCAAAAGTCTGACATTCCACCCAAGAGGTCATCTCTTGTTCTTGCAGAAACTGCCTCAGTAAGCTATTATTACAGATGGGAATGTGGTTTATCAGTGCACAGAGGAAGAAAAAAAATGTTTGAAACTGCTGATGGTAAATAGCTGGATAAACAAATGCATGCATGAATGTGAGGCTATGTCAGTGATAAAAGACAGGATGCACACTCATACCCACTGCAGGCAGGAAAAACTTTAGTAACTTCATTAAATAATTCTGATGGATATATTAAATGGCTAGTTAATTTACTCTCATTTTTTTATTATTGCCACAAAATTTTAATAAACAGGACTGACAACTTTTATAGCATTCTGGGAAGGGAATTGGGTCATTATAGAAGCACCAATACTTTGGATCCAGTCACATATGCTCTGTTAAGGTAAGCTATTTACCATTCTTCCTTCCAACTCATTTTGATTTGTAAAGCTAAGTTCCCTGTTGACAGGGCATCTAGAAGGGGAAATGAGATACATATGTAAAAAAATTAATACAATGTAGAAGGTGACTAATTTCCCAAAATAAATGTAGAGTATCAGGGACATTCAAAGATGGAAGAGATAACATCAGGTTGAAGTAAAGCATCAGGTAAAACTCCATCCATTTCCAGACCTCTTACCTCTTTTCCCAGTCAGAAAAGCAGTTACTGGTACTTTGTGATAAATTAGACACTGAGTTGCAGTACTTCTGTCATTTAAAAAGGTATCATTTATCCCTTTCAATGTGTGCTTTTGATAGTTTCTTTTTAAATGTTTTTATCAGTGTATCATAGTTATGCATTTTATTGAGGTTCATTTTGACATAATTGTATATGCATGTAATATAATCTACCCCATTTCAGTCCCCAGTACATCCTCCTTCTCCCTCCCTGATCCCCTTCCTCTCTTGCACTGTCTTCCTTATATATATTTATTGATAGTTTCTTAAATGTACCTTGGCTACATCTTGGACCCTAAGATCCTTCTGTTGGAGTGTCATCCCCATCAGACAGTGTAAGTCAATTTGGGGAAAAGACGATATTCTGTCTTGCTCCACTGAACCATGGGTTCTCTCAGTTGTTTCCATTCGTTTACATCTGATACTGAATCTCTGTGGTGAGGATGATTTAGGACTTTCAAAAAAGTCAAGAAGAATTTGTGTTCCTCAGCAGGCATTTGGGCAGCAGGTGAGCAAGTGAGATAGATACACACTTCAAGCATGGGTATAGCTATACACACACACACACACAAAAAAAAAAAAAAAAAAAAAAACACTGCTGACTTGGCAGCTGTGAAGTTGGAGGTGGGGAACTCAGTACCTGCTAAGCTAGTTTCTACTTCAAGTGCCTGCGTGTCTGAGGCTGTTTGAAGCCTCCAGCGTGGTTAGAGTTAATTCCCATTAGGTTGGACTCCGCCCCTCTCTCCCAAAGGTAAAGCAAGGTTTTCAGGCATCACTGCAAAGAGCAGCTGGGATTCCCATCCCTGTCTGACAAGCTGTGAAGAGAAGTTGTTGCTCAGATCTGAACCCGAAGAGAGGGAACAAGTCAGTCAGTCTTCATGGTCAGAAGGTAAATATGCAACTTGGGCCAAATGCAATTGAAACAGCTGGATAAGAAACTGCTTTGCTCTCCCCTTGCTCAGCCCTCCTTCCCTCCTTCCTTCTTCAGGCTTCCTGTCCTTTCATCTCAAAGCTCAGAGAAGCTGTTTTCCTCCCAAGGGCAGCCTGGTGTATTTTTACTTCCTCATAGTCTGTTGTTTGCACGGAGGCTAAAAGGAACCAGAGCTGGAATCTTATTTCATATTGACAAGCTTTGAGGACCTAAGGGTTAAACGCTAGCTGATTTCCCCAGGGGAGTTGGTAACCTGAGGAGAGGAAGCTCATGTCTCTGGGAGTGGAGGAAGGGATTTTGTTCTGACTTGTCTATGAGAGTCAGAATGGATCCAGTTTTCCCCGATGTGGTAGGTAGTGGTAGGTTGATCTCTTAGACGTGTTTAATTGGGGTTATGGGACTGAAATGGGGTGATGAGGCTAAACTGAAATGCAAATGTACAGGCCAGTAGGGCTGGAAATAGAAGATAGTATTCATTTAGTAAATATTTAGGAGTTCCTACTATGCACTGAGCATGATAATTTCCAGATGAACCTGAAGCAGTTTAACTATAAATCCATTCCTGCAAATAGTATCAGCCAAGTGGTGGGAAACTAAAAGCAGAAAGAACCTAGGAATGAGAAAAAAAAAAAAAAAACACTGATAAAGTGAGTGGTCATGGAGTGAGAGTCTAAGAGGAGTGATGTTCCCCTCTTGGGTGACTTCAAGTCTTCTCTATTACTTATGAGAGAATGGGGTCTTGTCTGGTAATAAGGGAGAGAATTGATATGTACCATAGTGTTAGGTACACCACAGACATTATTTCATTTGAACTTATGCCTCATCATCTCCATTTTATAGATGAAACTAAAACTCAGGTTTTAATTCATCCACCTCAAGTTCACATCACCTGTAAGGGGCAGAACTCAGGACCTGATCTTAGATCTAATTACAAAAAATCTAGACTCTTTTCCACTAAAACAGTATTCCTCAATTAAAAGTTGCCATAAGAATCAAATGAGTATTTTACAAAATGCAAACTCTTATAAGTTCAAATTCAGTGAATCTGGGAGGCATGGGTCATAGGGTGATTTGATGGAGGGAGTTAGAGCCCCCACTTCAAGAAACATTCTTTTGTTTTTCATTTATTATTTTTATTTGTTCTTTTTAGGTATACATGAAAGTAGAGTGTATTTTGACATATTATACATACATGGAGTATAACTTATCCTAATTAGGATCCCATTCTTGTGGTTGTACATGATATGGAGTTTCACTGGTCGTGTGTTCATACATGAACATAGGACTGCCACCTTCCAACTCCTCTGAAGTGGTTAGAGAAGCATTCAGTGCACCTTCTTCCCACACTGGGCAGATCTACTCAATGGAGATAGTCAGCTCTTGATGGTATTTTATTTCCAGCTGAGGCCATAGGGGTAAATGAACTATTGAGGAATAATAGCAGGATGAGAGCTATTAGCTTAAGGGCATTGGTCATGCTTTACTAGTTAGTGCATTGTTTTTTTTAAATATATTTTTTTAGTTGTAGATGGATAGAATTTATTTATTTATTTATTTATTTATTTAGTGCTGAGGATTGAACCCAGTGCCTCACATGTGCTATGCAAGTGCACCACCACTAAGTTACAACCCCAGCCCTAGTGCATTGTTGATAGGGCTTCACCATGTCTTTCCAGAGCAGCTGGCAGAGGGACTTTCTAACCAGCTGAGTTTCTGATGTTGGACTGTTAGCCAACCAACTGATCATGAAGGTAGGGACACAGGTAGACTGTCAACCCAGAGTAAAAACTGAGCTGAAGATCTCTAGATGGCAAAGCAAAGGCAAATGGGAGTTTAATGAGCAGCATTTTGAAGAAAGGGAGAAGATCATGTGAAAATTTGGGAAATCATTCCGGCTCCCACTTTCCAACCTCAAACTCTAGAGAAAGAGAGTAGCCTTGAACCTGATGCAGAGGCTCATTTTATTAGCACTTTTTATATCCTTCTGGATTTTTGATTGCTTATTTGTTCCCCTCTCTTCATGTACTCTCTGCCTTCCTGCCTTTTAGTGCTTTGCTTACTTAAGAGCATCTCCACCTTGGGATGATGAGAGCAAATAAATAATTATCTAACCCAATACAGCTAGTTTTTCTAGTTTCTAGCTCAGACAAAAAGAGGAAGGAAGTGGAAAGAAGGCCTGAAAGGAGGTTCAGCAAGCTTTAAAGCAATGGTCAAAAGTGAGGTCTTCCCTTATATGTGGAAGCTAGAGGAGAAAAATAGGACGGGGGGGAAAGGGATGACATGAAAGCAGACGGGACACCATTAGGGTGGAAGGAGATAGTATGGGATGGGAGGATGAGAGGTGGGGAGTGAAATTAATCAAAGTATATATATATATATATATATATACACACACACACACACACACATCTATACATATATGCATATATATATACACACACACACACATTTATATACTGAGGATTGAACCCAGGAGTACTGAACCACTGAGCCACATCCCCAGCTTTTTTATTTTTTAATTTTGAGACAAGTTGCTATGTTACATAGGGTCTCACTAAGTTGCTAAGGCTGGCTTTGAACTTGCAATCCTCCTGCCCCAGCTTCCAAGTTGCTGGGATTACAGGAGTGTGCCACTGCACCCTGGCTCCAATCATGTTTTTATGTATATGCAAATAAACAACTATTAAATCCACCATTCTGTATAGTTGAGATGCACCAATTAAAGAAGAAATGAGGTCTTCTTAGAATCATCCAGATACAAATGGAAAATAAAGCCCTTGAGTGACTACATTATGGAATGATTTCAGGCACAGGAGAACTTGGAACAACTCCCATGGTGAAGATATCCAGAGGAGAAAAATCTTCTAAGATACATAGATGGCAGGAAATGTGGAGAGACATGTTTGGGATATGGTAGTAGATTTTTTAAAAAAAATGTGTCTGAAATAGAAAGATCTAGAATGGTTGGGCTGCTTATATGCCCAGCTTGATATGAAGAGTGACATTGGTCAAAGGCATTTCTGTGGAGTAGGACTCTTTACATACCAGATACATATGCTTGCCTATCTTGCTCATTTTCTAGAGAAGTCTCAATGTCAAGATGTATTTGTAACAGGCAATGCATATGGGGAATGGGGACATGAGAAAGGCCTGCTCGAATTCCTTTACCAACATGAGTGCCCATAAAGTAGCTCCTCACAGACCTGTTCTAAGAAAACAGTTTTGCAGCCATGTTTTCCTCAGCAGCTATAAGTCAGAGACTCCCTTCCTGACTACTTCCTGTTCTAATTATTTAACTCACAGGCTTTTGACTGGACCTTGGCACTCTTAGTAAAGGAGTGTTTTCTTTAACTCAGAATTTACACAATAAGCTCCAGTGGAAACAAAAGTTTTTTTGTTTGTTTGTTTTTGGTGGGGTCTGGGGAAGAGATGAGGTAGAGGAAGGACTTGGTTTATTTTTCTCCCCTAAGAAAAATATAAGAGCAATGTTGCCAGTTTTGTTGATACTAAATGCCTACATATGAGTTAGCACAAAAGTGACAAAAACGAAAACAAAGACTTGGCCATGGGACACCACAGGAAGAGAAAGAGTGATCATTTTGGGTGAGAAAAGGCTAAAGGTAATCTACCAACAGTCAGAGTCTAGGGCCCTAATATGGAGGACAGTGGCCAGTTGTTCTCCATTCTATCTGAGAATCCAACAAAGGCTTTAAGTTGCAGCAGAAAAGGTTTATAAAGAGATATAACAAGTGATTTATCAACAGTGAGAATTGTTAAGTTACTGTGAAAATTTGTAAATGACCCTTTCCGTAGCTTTCTTTAAAAGTAAGAAATGACCATTTGACATTCATGGCTTATGGCTTAGGTGGGTTTCCTACATTCTGTGGGTTGAGGTGACCATTACCTATGGGGCAGTGTTAGAATAGCTAGCATATCTTTAAAGATTAACCAACATTAGACTTTGGGAAGGACAGTGAATGCAGGAGAGACTTCATGCATCCACCCTACTCATTACAACATTCTGACCACACTAAGTACATCTCATACAACAAACTCTTAGAAATAGGCATATGACTAATTTAGCAAATGGATAAACTAAGGGAGAAAGACAATGTAATACCTAAAGAGAGAGAACCAAATGCAATTCTATCAATGCCCAGTTGGTTACTGGACCACTCAGCAAGAGAATTATGGTGAGTTCTTGGCTCCTGAAATATAGTGTGACTGTGAAACTAGACATTTCCGGAAAGGGAAGCAAAGTTATTGCATACAAAAAGCATACACAAGGAATTAGGATAGAATTAAGTGTAGCATTGTTTGTGATTTTTATTGATGTGAATTCAAAGTGACATAACCAGTTTCTGGGAATGAACTTGGACCACTTTGAAGAACTGTCATGAAGAGGATTACTTCATTACAGGTGATGGAACTAAAAGCATTTGATAAAATGCACTTTCCTGTCTAGCACATGTACACTGGAGCAGTGTGAATCCAGACCCCATATGTCCTGATGCTTTCCTACCCAACCATGGGAGAAGCCAGGCTGAAGCTTATGTTCTCAGGAAATAATGAGTGATTGAATCTCTGAAATCTATTCCTTGACCTCATAAGGTCAAGTCTATGATTCAGAAAGGTAAACATTCAGATTTTAGAGGTTTTATCTCTCCAATGTGGAATTCCATGGTCATTTTTAACTTCTGGGGAGAAAAACTTAGCAAATTTTTTGGGTCAGTGATTCTCATGGATGGTTCTGGCTTACAACATCTCTAGTCCTAAATGGGATGACCATTCCAGGTTATTTGAAACTTTTCTGATTTTATCACTGAATGTCCTACATCCCAGAACATTCTTCAGTCCCAGGCACACTGGCATGGTCATTCACCCTAATCCTAAATGAAATAAGGACGATGAGGTTTGGGGTTTTTCCCCCTAAAATTGAAAGTACTTAATTTAAATTGAATTTTGAAATTCATCTTTCCTACATCTTGGCTTCTGAATGCCACTTGTAAAATGAAATCTTTGTGACAGTGGTAGATAGTATAATAGTTTACTTAACAGCTTTATTTGTCACAGATGGGGTCAACCTTATATCAGAATCCTTCTGCTTTTTTCTATCATAGTCTGGGTACCACTCACTGATATATAATCACTTCCTCTGTCTTAGGTTCTCTGTCCCTCGAACTGGTTGTCACATGAGAATTTTTGATCTCAAGGTTAATGTGCATGGGGGACATATGGGGTTACTTCAAACTCCAAGTGCTAAGCTTTAAAAGCTGATACTTTTCTTCTCACGGTATGTCTGGGTAAACTGGCCTTCCTCCTACCTTCCCTATCTTCTTCTCAAATTCTTCCCCATTCTTAAATATTTTTTGAAGTTTTAGATGGGAAGTCATGGAGGCTTTTAATTGTAATACTAGTGGAGTGATAATATAATACTACTGGGGTAATGCTATGGGAGAAGGCTGCAGATGAAGGAGAGGTGGAAAAGTCACCTTGCTTTCTGACCCTCAGTTTACTTTTTTGTTAATTGAGGGATAATACCCACTTTCTTACTATCCTAAGAAGATGGTTCAGCAGAGCACATGTGTTCAAAAGGGATTGTGATGACGCTGCCAGTAACTATTTATCAGCTTTTTTCTCTCCTGTTCTGGCTTGGGTTTATTCATCAGGAAATGAATCCATAACAGAGGGCTACCTGTGCTTTTCATAATCATACAAACTCCAACATAACTAGCAGGAGCATTACATCATTGTGGCCAAGGATTCCTGCTTTTCTAACAGCACTTACTCAAGACAAGTTCCATTTCTCCCCCTGTTGCCTTCAATCCCTCATCACATCTTTCTCTCATTCCCTCCACTCTCAGGCACAAAGCCTTATTCCCAGGGGCCCAGCTCAGGGCACTTTCTTCCCAAACCCTAACATTCCAAAGTAAGCACCTGCAATTTACGATCTCTGCTCCCTTCCTGCACAAAACACACAGCACAAAATACATATGTATCAAGAAGGGAATTGTGGTGGGGAGAAAAAAAGAACATTATACTAAGAATTAAATAACTAGGCTCTGGTTTGGCCAGTGTACCTTGCTAGCCTTTTACCCTTGGGTAAATCACTTCCTCTCCATTTCCCCATCTGTAAAGTGATGGGAATGGGGGTTAGTATTGTGTGGTAGCAAAGTGCTGGCTTAGGAATCTGCAGATCAGGTTTCTGTTTCCGGTGTTGCTGCTTGCTAACTGTGACTGGGGAAAATCACTTCCCCCTTTACTGGTCCAAATTCGCCCCATATGTAAAACAAGAAGGTTGGATTAGGTGATTCATTTAGGTCCCTGCCAGTCTGGAAATTGGATGATTCTATGAAAGGGTTTCATTAAACAAATATGAATTGTAATACCTACCCTGTGCCAGGCAGTGTTTGATAATGCTTGTGAGAGGGCTCATGGCTGAGACCTTGAGACTCTGAATATGACTGCTATTTGTTCCTGTTTAACATCCCAATTTGGCAATGTGGCAACCCCATACTAGTTCCTGTCCATCTCCTTTTTAGGGCCTTATCACCATCTCCCCTCTCCAGCCTCACTACCTGTAACTTTTAGCAATGGTGATGAATCATGGAGATGTTTCTGAAACATACTCCACCATCTGCCTGCTGGAGACATTCACAATGCTGTCATCAAGCTGCAGTGTGGTCTCCAGCCGCCCTAATACAGAACCTAGCCAGAAAGCAATGGCAGATTAATGGATTGGGAGGAAGTGGTGGATTTTTGATTGAGGGGTCTGTAAAAACCATTTAGGAGCTGGGCTAAAGAGACTAGATCTGGAAAATCTCTCAGCATCTTGAAGCTGAGATGACTTGTTCCGAAAGGGACCTTGAAAGGTCCTTACAACTATGTATGTCTGCTACAAGGCAGGAATGCATAATTATGATCTGTTTGAGAGACATGAGAAACTTTCTTCACTATAGCTAGCAAATAATGAGGAGGCTTTTATTTGTAGCCAGTCTACTGGTTGGAATGTTGCCTTCCATTTTGGTTGTCTGAAAAGTGACTGAATGGTACTCTCTCAGTGACTGGAATAGAGTACAAGACTGGGCTTCTATCATTTTATTCTATCCATTTCAACTTGGCTGATGTATCCCACTGAAAAGCCTACAGTAACACACTGTTAGACATCCTATCTAAGTCAAATTGATACATCTCATAGCTCCACGGTGAGCTCTCCTGCCCATCCATAAGGGACAGGTCTGTGATTCATCTTCCTTCTTCACTTTCTGCAAACAACTTTGTTCCTCAGCTCTCAAGATATTGCCTGTTTCCACGCCTGCAGATCTGCAAAGCTGTTCAGCTGGAATTCCCAGGGACTCTTGAGGCAGTTTTGTCTTCCTACAGATTCTCTTCCTACCACTAGGTCTAAGCAGTATGCTACAAGTTATAAGATGATGGATCTGGCTACATTGGGTTGGCAGAGCAGTGACTAATCAGTTCTATGATTATTCCACTGCAGGATAGTGACTACAGAACTCTGAACCAAGCAGAAGGAAAGGAAGATGGAAAGCAGGATCCCAAAAGGACCCAAATTGTCTTTGAGAGGCTAATCTCATGCAGAAACAAGGGCCAAGTGGCACATAAATGAACCCCAGGACTGGTCGTTTAGATGAAAAAATCAGCCCGTGGAACCTACATGCTAACTTTTCCATTTGGTGCGGTGACCCAACTGATCTTCCTATCCCTGCAGAGAAACCTGAGACCATGAGGAGCAGCTTGACCTTGGTTGGGACCCTCTGGGCTTTCCTGTCCCTTGTTACTGCTCTGGCCAGTTCTACTAGTTACTTCCTGCCTTACTGGCTCTTTGGATCCCAGTTGGGGAAGCCAGTGTCATTCAGCACATTCCGAAGATGCAACTACCCTGTACGGGGAGAGGGGCACAGTCTGATTATGGTTGAAGAATGTGGGCGCTATGCCAGTTTCAGTGCCATACCAAGTCTGGCCTGGCAGATGTGCACAGTGGTAACAGGTGCTGGCTGTGCTCTGCTGCTCCTGGTGGCACTGGCTGCTGTCTTGGGCTGCTGCATGGAGGAACTCATCTCCAGAATGATGGGACGTTGCATGGGAGCAGCACAGTTTGTAGGAGGTAAGACTGTGTCCATGGGGTTGAGTAAGTAGGAGAGCCTTAGGATGCGAAATTCCACCCACATCTCTTCCACTTTGTCTAACTCTAAGTTATGAATGGTGACTTTTTTGAAATGTGTAGTCTAGGAATTCCCAAAGTGCAATATACATCAGGGTTTTATTCACAGAAAAATTGGCTAGTAGGCAGAGTAGATATTTGTTGCATGGCCTTTATTTTTGCACCTTCAGGGTATCCATTTAAGAATATTATCCAGAAGTTGATCTCAAAGTAAAAGAGAGTACAATAGTGGTCCCTAGAGGCCAAGAGGGGGAAGGGGAAGTGAAATACATGGAGGTAAGATAAGTTAAAATATAGTTAGTTAGGAGGAATAAGTTCTAGTGTTCTATATCATCATAGGGTGACTATAGTCTACAATTTATTGTATATCTTATATAGAACTTGAAGAGAAGAGTTTGAAGGCCCTCAACATAAAGAAATGTTTAAGGAGATGGAAATGCTAATTTCTCTGATTTGATCATTATATATTGTATACATGTATCAAATTATTACACTGTACCCCATAAATGTATGTAATTATTATGTGTCAAACAAAAACAAAAATAATAACAATGGACTGGGATTGTAGCTCAGTTTTATAGCACTCTCCTAACAGGTGTAAGGCACTGTGTTCAATTCTCAGCACCACAAAAACAAAATCTAAATAAAATAAAGGTATTGTGTCCATCTATAACTAAACTACTTACCAAACAAACAAAAACAAAAACAAAAAAGCAAAGCAAAAATCCCATTTCATTATGGACTTCACTGATTGGCATAGTTAAATTCACTGAAATAGAATTATTCTCAATGCAAAAAAAATATAAAGAGAATATTATTCACTTCTGTCTTCCATTGACAGCAACACATGCTCTAGTGTTCTTGTTCCAATATGAACTTGATCCTGAAGAACCCTGATTTCTGGTAGTTATCTCAGAGGACAGTGATCTGATAAATACATACACATAGGTACTAATTACTAACAGTCCTCATTAAAGAAATACATCTCTAATTAGTTAAATGCTAAGTGCCAGACACAATGTATGTGACTCCTTTATCCTTGTTGGACGGCCATTCACTAATTCTACTCAGGTTTCTCATGGCCTTGATCCACCCTACAATGTCCTTTCACTTATTCAGTTTCCCCTTAATTTTAGTGCAAATAACCTGAGACACTGGGAATCTGGATGGGCTAGGAAAGAGCAAAATGCCATAATGGCAGACTGCAGGAAGACAATGGGAGACAGTTAATTTAGACCATTTGAGAAGAAATCCCAAATTAGATAGATAAATATATGTGTGCATATTTGTGCTATTTTTAAGCCTAGATGGGGCACTAGGAAAAATCCACTGATAAATTCATTGTTATTTCAGGGTTTTAGAATCATTATCTAATTCATTAACACTATCACCTGTATAAGCACAACAGTATGGATGACTAGAGTCATGAAAGTTGGATTTCACCTCTATTTCTTTTACCACAGTGCTGTATGGCACTTATGGGCAAATGATGTGACTTTTCCTGTGCTTCATTCCCCTCAAATTTATCCCCTTGAAAATTCAGTTCATATCTGTATTTTGTTTCCTTTCTCCAATGATGTCATTCAATTAATTGGCCTTCAAGTGAGATGGTAGTGATGAGCTTAGGCACTGATTCTCACCTGAGGATAGACTTGCATCCTCTCTCCCACGAGAGGACATCTGGTTGGTTAGGCCTAGAGACTTTTTTTTTGTTACCAGTGATTGAACTCAGGGACCCTTAACTATGGAGCCCCATTCCCAGCCCTATTTTATATTTTATTTTGAGTCAGGGCTTCACTAATTTGTTGAGGTTGGCCTCAAACTTACAATCCTCTTGCCTTATCCTCCTGAAGTCATTGTAATTATAGGTGTGCACCATAGAGCCTAGGTTGGAGATATTCTTGGTTATTGAAATTTGGGAAGGTAGCTCTGACATAAGTGGGTAAAGGCAAAGGAACTGCTCACCGTCCTATAATTCACAAGAGGAAGACACCTCTATACCTCAACAACTAAAAAGCATCCAGTCCCAAATGCTGATAGTGCCAAGACTGAGAAACCCTGGACTAAGATACCATGGTTTCCTGGCCTGCATATGTAAAGCCCCAGATTCTTCTTGTTGCACCACTTGAGGGGATGCTTTCTGGTTCTTTCTTTGAACATACTCTCATTGTAAAAATCTAAAATCTGAATTACCGTTTTAGCTACCCTCATCTCTGAATTTTCCTACATTTTAGTCACTGATGGGTTTTCTAGCCACACTGAAAAGTTTAATTAGAATAATTCCTTTCTTTTCCTTAAAAACCATGGTACCAAACTCAGATGCTAACACTGATATAAGCCAATGATTTTATTTCCCTTGGGGAACTCCCTGGGTACCACATGGAGTGCCACTTTGGGAACTGAATTGGTATCACCTTTCACCTATATTCTTGGGTGTGTTATTGTTAATTGAGCACTTCTATGGAAACATTATTTTAGCAATTGACACTTGACTGACAGGAGAGATAGAATCCTTCCCATCAAAATTATAGCCCCAGGGCCCAGCTCACTGCCTGTCACAGAGCAGGTGTTCAGTTAACTATAAAAAGGATGAATATGTGGCTAAAGAAGTATTTACTGTATGTTGGGGTACACAGGACATGTGAGATCTGGGTTAGTTCATATACTTTTTATTTTTCCAGGCTTCCGTGTAGAGCTATTAATCCCCCGAGCTTTCTTGTCTTCTGACAAGAGAGTGACAACTTGGTCCTGCTTGCCTTTTTGAGAGTTTCCAGTTCTCAAAAGAGAAGGAGGAGGGTCTAAGGGCAGGAATCAGAAGAGCAGTAACAACAGCCTTCATCAGACTCCAAGCATTAATAGCTTACTTTCTCTTGGGGACTTGACTGAAACTTTCATGGAAGAACCCTCATAGTTCTCCATATGATGCATTTTAATTGATCTTACCTCCTAGGTCTAGAAACTCAAAGGGAATTATTGAAGCAGGGACTTGGACATTCCTAGAGGATAAGTGGGACAGAAGTTTGACTGAGGGGCAGGTGTCATACAGAAGAAGTCAAAATATGAATTCTATTTTCATGTCAAATGATTCTGCCATTCTATATTTCCCAAAACCCTCATGAGTAGGAACTTGGTCATGGTGTTCACATTTTGATGAGTGTCTTTTACATTCAAGATTAAAGTATCACTTGACAGTAGTCCTACGAAGGGTCAAGAACAAGGCTAGACTACCAGGTTAATGTCAGGCAAGGGAATAATATTGGGCCAGATTGCTAGACTTCTATAGCTACCCTATCTGAAACACTGGCCAACGTTAACAGCCATCCTGCCTCTTTTTTAAAGACTGGTGGCTGTCAAGGTTATATCAAATGTGAAGGAATGGTGAAGACTGCTTGGATGTACCATATTTTCTAGGATCTCCTTGGCACATGACCATTACCTATTGCTCTTCACAGATCTTGGATCTAATTTTCAGAGATGGGTTTTGCCAGTGGCAGGAAGTCAAACCTGGGCAGCATTTGGAACTCCATGGATAAAAGACACAAGAGAAAGAGCTCTGGGGGTTAAGTTTATGTTTGTTGTTCAGATGAGGGGAATTGATTTTGTTGCTCTGGGCCTGGCTGCTTCTCGGCAGCTAGTGCATTAACCGAAATACATCAGGGGAGGAGCCAATTTGTTGCAGGTCTGGATTATCTCTGCCAGACCCCAAACCACTGAAGAACTGGAGTATCCATTAAGAACTACCTCCTCCCCCTGCCTGACTCTTGTTCCCGGGTCTGGCGGCTGCCCACAGAGATGAGTGGTGGGAAGTGGGAGAGACAGGAAGAAATAAAGAGCTGCTGGCTTGAGTCATACTCAGCAAGGTGACCTGATGGGGCCCTTGGGTCCCATTTGCTCCACCTGCAGCTGATCCGGCTGAACAAGCTTAGGGTCCAGAGAGCCTTCCACTGGGACCTTTGTGCCCTGCTCTGACCAGTGAAGGAAACATCTGGCCAGGAGATTATTTCAACACTGGGGATGCTGAGCTTTCCAACCAGATGGCTCCCCTGGTCCCTGAGAACATGGTCATTATTCACATTCCCCTGTGTATGCATATGCATGATGCTTGTGAATTATCCTCTATCTTCAGTGAGAGTTAAACCAAGAAGGAATAGGTGAGAAGTAAATATAAGGAACTTCTTGGCAGGAAAAAAGTGTAAGATCTTGGATTGGGTTACTCAAGGGAGGCCAAGAATCTTTCTAGAGCAGAGAATGTATCAAAATCATCAAGAGTGCTTAAAAGAATGTGAACTCCCTAATTTCCATTCTTATATTCACAGCAACAGGTGGAAGGCTGCATGTTTGGAAAAATGTCCCCAGTGACTCTGGTGTATGTGCCGTGTTTCCTTTCCCCAACCCAAAGGCAGATCACTACCCTGGATATTTTTTGTTTGTTAAGGGGACAGTATGTTACATACCCAGACAGAGAGGGATGATTTCTGTATGTAAGATCCTAATGCTACATGCTACAGGCTGAAAGAAAGTTGCCACTGGAAACAAATCACTGAAAACTTGATTTTCAAAAAGTTGCCATCTTTCTAAAAACTATAATGTTTCAACACATGTATAAATTGTGTAATTATGAAATAAGGCTAATTAGCATGTATATAACCTCAAACATTTATCATTTCTTTGTGAAGGGAGCATTCAAAATCCACTTTTCTAGCTGTTTCGAAATATAAAATGGTTATAGTTATTATACTCATTGTTAACTATATTCACCCTGCTGTGCAACAGAATGCCAGAACTTATTCCTCTAATCTAATAATAACTTTGCACCCATTTATTATTTGTTAATTTTAAAATTTATCCTCATCAGGATGGTGGCACTTGCCTGTAATTCTAGTGGCTCAGGAGGCTGGGGGCAGGAGGATCACAGGTTCCAAGCCAGCCTCAGAAACTTAACA